AGTCCTGCTGAATAGGTGACCCCTGTTCACACTACACTAATTCTTCTGGGGAAGTTGGTTCCATACCTTCAGAAGATGCTTACTTAGTTTTCTGATTATAGCCATGCCAGACTGTGGCCAAAATCACCCAGTTCCTAGCTGGTGCTGACCATAGAACCATGGATTGTGGTGACTATTTTCTGAATTGGATCCTGAGGTTGCCCCAATCTCTACTTGAAGAGATTATCTTTGAGGTGTTTTGTCTTCTGCTATTAGGGCTTATTCACAACATCTTCAGACCAGAATATTTTTTTTTTGTCTTGTCCATAAACAAATCCCCAAAGATGACATTGTTTTTTTCTAAGTGTAGTTGATGCCATTGTGTTAAGTTCCAGAGCTTTCAAAAAAAAAAGTTCAGCATGTCACCTTTTTTGTGGTCTGGAACACAAAAAACACATGCAATTGCACCAGAACACATTACAAAAATGCACTTGACTGCATTCGCAGAAAATCATCCAGATCTGGTCATGAGATGGTGTGAATCAGCCCCTACTCCAGATTTTAAAGGACAGTGTCAGCTGTTCCGGAAGGTTCACACTGCATGTGGCTTTTGACATGTGCTGACAATCTGTGGTGTGTATATGCTGCTTTTTTTAAAATTATTATTTTATTTTGTGCATTGTAATTTTTTCCCTTTTATGAAACACATTACTTTGTCCTTACACTATGTGTGCTTCAGCGAGTTATGTTCTGTGCTAACTGCATCATTTTGTTGCAACAAACACCAACGCAGCATTGTGTGAACAGGCTCTATACAAAGAAAGGCTTTGTTATGAGTGTTATGTTTAGTTTATATGCAACTCTATGATTCATCTCTGTGGCACTTGTTTCCTGTGATGCGTTTCCTGTTCCTGTTCTGTGGGTTCTCTTCTAAGAACATGACTTCTGTACACTAACGGCTTATACTGTCATTATTACCACATAAAACATGGTGTCAGAAGTACTTGAATGCTTCTACTCATGGGATGCTGAAAGCTTGCCAGTCTTGCAGTGAGAGGCCTTAGAGCTGAATGTGCTTCCTGTAGCGATTGCTACAACCAGCACCATGGCAACTGCACACAGCATTCCACTACCTGAGACAATGAGGGTGAGTGGGGATTGCAGCAGTAACTGGGATAACTTCAGAGCTGAGTTTGAGAATTACTCCCTAGCAACAGGATTACATGAGAAGCCTGCAGCAGTGCAAGCAGCTACACTGAGGAGAGTGATGGGCAGTGAATGCCTTCATGTTTACAAGCATAATCTGAACCTCACAGAGGAGCAGTAGAGTGACACTAAAGCCATCCTGGATGCATTAGAAGTTTTTTTTCAGACCTTCTAAAAATGTCATATATGAAAGATATATATTTGGCAGCTGCAAGCAAGAAGAAGGTGAAACAATAGATAACTTTGTCACACGGCTAAGAGAAAAAGCTGCAAGCTGTGACTATGGGTCTCTGAGAGATGAACTTATTCGTGACAAAATAGTTCTGGGTATCACTAGTGAAAGCACACGCCGACGCCTATTGAGAGAACATGATTTACACCTACAAGCAGCAATTGTGATATGTCGTACTGCAGAGTTTACTGACAAACATATGAGAGCTATGGAGCAGGATCAACAGACTGACAGTATTAATGCAGCCTCCAAGCAACAGCCAAGCTTGAAGAACCACCAGCACAAGGTTAAGCACAAAAATCACCAACGCAACTCACCTGGGAGCACGCCTGCATCATGCAGGTACTGTGGCAATGTGCATATACGAGAGAAAGAACAGTGCCCTGCATATGGGAAAAGCTGTAGAGCATGTGGTAGATTAAATCATTTTGCTGGAGTGTGTTTGTCTAGTAACAGAAGCAAATTTATGGCCGTGATACGATCACAGCTGAAACAGATCACAAACCACTAATAGCCATATTTAAAAAAACCCTTTTGTGTGCTCCTAAGCGTTTGCAGAGCATGATGCTTACATTGCAGCATTACAACCTCAATGTTGTCTACAAGCCAGGAAGTGAAATGTACATCAATGATACCCTGAGCAGAGGTACTGCGAATCATGTGACACCCAGAAGTGAGCATGAGCATCATATAGTTTGTTTGCTGCAACAGGAACAACATTTCTTTGCCGAAATCAATCAAGCAGACTATCTTAACGTCACAGATCAGTGGCTACATCAGCTTCTACAGCACACAGACAGAGACGAAACTTTACAAGCGCTGAAGTCTATTGTTCTAAGTGGGTGGCCTGATGACAAGGATGCAGCACCTGCAATTGTGAAGGAGTATTGATCCTTCAGAGATGAGATCAGCGTAAAAAATGGTATCTTATACAAAGGCCCAAGAGTTATAGTGCCAAAGTCACCGAGAGCAGAAATGTTATTACGCATTCACTCAAGCCACATCAGGGGTGAGGCATGCTACAGACAAGCTTGCAATACCTGCAAGAAAGTACAAAGTGATGGTAAAGACCAGTGGAAGGCCATCTTACATTGGAGGAACATTCCAACTGTGGGCATGGATAGTAGCCCAGCACAGAGACTGATGTCACGAAGATTAAAGACCTCCTTACCTGTCACCAACAAGTTACTTGAAACCTCTGTGATACAAGGGGTACCGGAAAAGTTACGGCTTAAGAGGCAAGTGTTCAAGGCACAATATGACACATCTGCAAGAGATTTGCCTGAATTGAATATTGGGGAACGAATCCGTATGAAACCGCTGCATGGAGATCGAACAAGTCGTTGGAGAATGGGAACTTGTCTGCGAAAGGTTGCACCACGCTCCTATCTTGTGGACATTGATGGAACTCTCTATCGTCGCAATCGTGTGGATCTGCATAAGTGTTAAATTGTTTGCTGAATTGCACAAACTTTAAAATTGTGCGATCTCTATTAAATAAGGAGCGGAATCTGGGGTAAAAAAAGCTTTGTGAATTGACACTTAAGTCTGTTCGCAGACAAATTCTGGAGCAGATGTGCATGGCAAGCAATCGGCTTCTATCTTTCAGTTTCAAATCTTAGCTGAATAAACTGAAGATAGATGCTGATTGGTTGCCATGGGCAACTGCACTATATTCTGTCTGCTCCAGTTTTTATAAATTCCCCACAATCTCTTTTTCTGCAGCCCCTGTTACAAATGAATAGGAAGCCTCTATACTGAGTGCTCCTGTTCATTTAGAACTTGTGGGCATAGTATGTTTACCATGTCCACAATCATGAATGAACAGGAGGTGATGTAGATCACTTCCCATTCATTCATAATTGGGGACAGAGTAAACATGTGCTCAATTATTTACAAACACTCAGCGATCACTGAGTGCTTGTATCACTCTCCATCCTGTCTCGCTGTCACAGGAGGCTGAGTGATACGGGGAGGAGAGCTCAATCTCTGACAGCTGACTCCTACACCGCTATCCGCTGTCTCTGCCCTCATACAGTCGCTCTCCTGATCTGTCAGGACACACACACGTGCACACGTTGTGGTGACAACTGTGCTGGTGTCTTGTTAATTCAAAAGCTGTCAATGCACAGAAAACAGACAAGCATCCTTTCTCCTGACACTGCACACCACAATGCAGTGTGTTACTGTGCATTGTGGTCCGCTGCAGCATGTGTGGTTGAGATGCATTGCCTTAATTTATGGAGGGGCCATTTGAAATCAAAGCGTTAATTCAAACAAAACAGAGGACTCACTCCTCCCCTTCTCAGTCCTCTCTGCACTTAGTTGTTTGGATGACATACTCCCTTCACTCATCATAATGGTGACAATGGTCATTGGTCCTGAAACACTTGCTGCAGCAAGGTACGTTGGGATACCATTGACAATGGATGGCACCGCAGGACTTCCAAGGCTGAATTCACACGGGGTGTTTTGGGATTCCTGCAGCAGGAATCTTAGGTGTGCCTGTTCAGATGTGGCCGCTACTTCTATTGAAGTTAATGACAGGGTGACAGTGACTGCATGTAAAACAGTTTGGGATAGTTGACTTTCCTGGAGACATCTATCCTGCGTCCGGCGACAATCATCAGTCCCAAACTGCATGTAACTGTATCATGTATGATTATATGCGAACGGCCGCTGACAGATGCGGCCACTGTCACTAACTTCAATGGGTACAGTGGCCACCACTAAACGGGGACACCTGAGATTCCTGCTGCAGGACTCTATAGGTTCTCGAAGCAGGAATCCCAAAACGTAGCAAAGTCCACAGTGAATGGGGCCTTAGTCCTTGTTCACACCTAGGCATTTTGTTGTGCAAAACAAGAAACCCCATTAATTCCTATGGCCCCTGTTCACACCTGAGCTTGGAAAACCTCTCACTTGAAAAAGTACATGAGCTTCTTTTGGCTGTTTACTGCGCGCTTTGCCACCAGACTCAATAGGAAACACCTTTTTGCGCAGTGACTTAACATACGTGTGTCAGACGCTCAAAAGCGCTAGGTGAAATCGTGCAAAAATATGCACAAAAACGTACGCATTCATGGAATGTGCAAGAGCGAATGCAGGCTTACAAAGTGACATGCATACTGGCGTGCTGCCACAAAAAGAAAAAAAAAAAAAGTCATCTTTGCAGCCATTGCTGCAGTGCAGAGATGTAAATAAGGGGTTAACACAACACACGTTTGTTCAGTGCATCTCTTCAAAACGGGGTTGTAGCCTTAAAGTGAGCGGAATTACAGCCATCCTTTTACCATGTGTATTTATCTTGGTAAATAATGAGCAGCAAAACTAACAAGTGACTAAGAGGGAGTCCGCTCTATTTTCTAGCACGTGTGTATAGGTCTGTCAACAGCGCACTTCGCTTTTCTGCCACGTTTGTCCGCAGCCTGCGCATCGTACAGCGTGAGAGGAGGAGCGTGAACACGTGGGTAAACTTGCATGGTGACAGTGGAGGAAAGTTTGGAGTGAGGAAGCCAGACAGCTGTGTGGTCAGTGTGTTCAGTCCGGATTGTAGCCATCACTGCTGAGAGGCACAGGAGCGGAGCAGCCGGTGAGTGAAAGTCCAGGACGGAGATTGCTGACTGTGAGCTGGAGGGGGCAGGCTGGCACTATGTGTTCCCGCCGTGCAGGGGTAATGGTTGGCAGGGAGCCCCTGTGCCCAACAGACATGTCTTCTGTGTTAGGGAGCAGTTCCCTTTAGGTCTGGAGATCCTTATGGCAGTGCTGTGGTAGCAGTAGAGTACAGTAACCCAGCTCAGGTAAAGTGCCATGTTTCTTGCTCTCAGGTTTGTAACACCTTTAGGGCCCATTCACACCAGTGCGGTGCATTCATTGCACGGTTCCATGTGATTAATGCATGGTACTGTGTGTTACAGTGCAGGAGGTGCGGTGCAATTAATCTGAGCGGCACCCTAACCTATCGGGCTGGAATGCGCTTGACCAATCGATACAGCAATACTGTGTTGCTGAAAAAAATACTGCATGCCCTTTTATTTATTTTCTTTTAGCCACATTACACTTCATAACACATGGAGCTTCACACCACTGTGCTATATAAATTCACCGTTTTGAAAGCAGTGGTATGGTTGGGGGTAACGCTATGTTACTCCTTTATAAATGCCCCCCATAAACGGTGGTCTAAGATGCTAGTTGTAGACCAGGGATGTCCAAACTCCGGCCCTCCAGCTGTGGTGAAAGTACAAATCCCATAAAGCATCTCTCTCCGGGAGTCATGTCTGTGGCTGTGAGAATCTTGCAAAGCCTCATGGGATTTGTAGTTCCAGCACAGCTGGAGGGCCGCAGTTTGTACATCCCTGTTGAAGACAGTCTAAGGAGCTGTGTACATGACGTTTGCATCAGAACTGCTTTTCTACCCATACAACTAAAGGGAAAAGTGAAATGCAAGTCTGGAAGTCACATGTAAAGGAACAACAAAGCACCCCAAACTGATTTTATTTTCATGTAGGAAGTGTTGTGTTTTCCCTTCTCTATGGACTTGATATAAAAAAAAAAGCAAGACTTTATCCGAATACTGCACACAAAGCTGTAAGACCCGGCGGCAAATTCGTGCGGTAAGAATCTGCAGATGCAAATGTTGCTGTTTGTATGGTTATTGGGAATTACACACTGCCCCAAACAGACCCTCTGCAGTGTGCATTTAAATAGTGGGATTTGGGTGTATACCCATACAACCTCGGCTTCAGCCAGCCTGTCATTGATTTGTGCTGGCTATACCATGTTGTCACTACTGGCCAGATAAATACACCTGGATGTACACTGTACAGCCCTTTTGCTGTTTGTGTGCGAGAAGCCAACATTTTTTTTTATTTAAATACAGGCAGTGTTAGTACATTCATTTGACCTGGTATCAGCCTCTTTCCTCCCTCTCCAGCAAGGCTGGAGTGTGAGAGGGAGTAGCAGTAAAATGAATCAACCAGTCCATTTGCTAACCTGTTGCATACTGATAGAAGGTAGCAGAGTGACAGAGAGATGAGCTGATCACTGTGCTGTAGAGCTGCAGCTAACGATTATTTTCAAAATCGATTAGTTAGCCGATTATTAAGTTCGATTAATCGGATAAAAAAAATAAAATACATTTTAAAAAATGGCTCCAGTGATGGGACTACCAGTTTGTATTGAGACTGCAGTCCATCACAGGCGCAAGCTTAGAGTGGTGGAAGTAAAAACGAAAAAAAAAGTGTGGTGTGCAATATAGTGAAATGAAAAGTGTAAAATTATACAGCAATTAATGCAGAATGGCACCGGCTATAGAGGACTACAAAACCCAGCAACAGTACATTATACAGCACAATGCAGAATACCACCAGCTATAGAAGAATACAACAAATCCCAGCAATAGTACATTATAGCTGGCGGTATTCTGCATTGCGCGGTATAATGTATTATTCCTTGATTTGTAGTCCTCTATACAGCGCAATGCAGAATACCACCAGCTAGGGATGTCCTGATGCCACTTTTTCAGGCCCAAGTACAAGTACATCCCCTCGTGTACTTGCCGATACCAATTACCGATACTTTTTCTTAAAGGGACAGGTGACTTTAAATGATCCATAGTACAACTACATGTTATGTACTATGGATCATGGTTTAACCTATTCATGTTAGCAGTGGAGAATTGTAACTCTATTGCTGGAGTGTAGTGGAGGTGTGTGCTGTATATATGTACTACATATGCATTACACGCGTCCAGTACACTATAACAATAGATTTACAGTCAGCCCCGTCCCAGCTTCCCTTACTCATTAATGTATTGCTGGGATTTGTATTCCTCTATAGCTGATGGTACATTGTGCTGTATATTATACAGAGCAATGTACCATCAGCTATAGAGGAATACAAATTCCAGCAATACATAGTAGAGCACCATGTGAGGGGAGTGGGGTGGAAGTGCAGGCTTACCTGAGCAGTCTTCCAGCAACTTGTTTCTGAGATCAGGCCTGTCTATCGGCGGCTGTCATCTTCCCATGCCTGCTCCTCCTTACTTCTTCTCCCCGCGTCCCTGTGCCGATCGTGGATTTGGGCCGGCGGTGAGCATGAGGAAGGGAGGAGGTGCGGCGTGTGGATGCGGGCGGGTCTGACGGCGGCGAGTGAGAGGTGGGGAGGAGGTGTGGAGCCGTGAACAGTGTCAACCAATCTGAAGCCGATTAATCGATGATTAAAAAAGTTGACAACTTTTTCAATAATCGACTATAATCAATTATGTCGATTAGTTGTTGCAGCCCTACTGTGCTGCATCTCCTTTTACTGTCTGGGCACAGGTAGGATTGGGTCCAGGATGACCTGGGCTCAGTGCAAGTGGGTTCAATGATCTTGGACATTTAGCGGCAGAAAAAAAGTACTGCAGGGGGAAATCTCTGGATTAAAGTACAATTAAACCATTTTTTTGGCATATAGCTACTGCTAGCAAGCAGTAGACTCGTGCAAAAACATTAAAAGAAATTAAAAAGTTACCAAACAGGTTTATTACCTGTGTCGCCCCCGCTCATTCCCGTCCGAAGATCTGAAGATTCTCAAGCGGCCGTGAAGGATGATGGGGCGGGTGCATGCGTAGTAGAGATCTTTGGCCGAGAGAAGAGGACAGACACAGTGTAACTCAATGCACACAGCCGGGCAGCGTGCACCCGCACAGACACTGTGGGACACAAAAGTCACAGCAGTCAGCGCTGGAATCCTGGAAAGAAAATGATCGGATCAAGGGGCATTATTTAAGGTAAGTCTTTAAAGCAGCATTGAGGGGAGGGAGAATGTGACTTAGGCCTCATTCACACTGCTAAGAGCTGGCCCATACAGATCCGTGCAGCATCCATCGCCGTATCAGGCCAATCCTAGGAAGGACAGGTGGTACGTGTGATTTACGCAGCACTCTGTTCTTCTCTATGGGAGTACGCGGCCGTATGCTCACCCGAACTGCACATGGGTGGCTGTACTCAGACAGGATGGATCCTGTCTGCGTCTGAGCATGGACACCCGCACGGATGTGCAGCTCTGGTGTGCGTACGGCCGCATACGCCCATAGAGAAGAACATAGCGCTGCGTAAATCACACGTACCACCTGTCCTTCCTAGGAGCATCCCGATATGGCCGTGCACGCCGCATGGATCTGTACGGGCCGGCTCTTAGCAGTGTGAATGAGGCCTAATGCCACTTTAACCCCTTCATGACTGAGGCCCTTTTTTCATTTTTTGCACCCATTTTATATTCCACATTTTAGGCCTGAAAATGACGTAAAACCCCCCAACATTATATATTTTCTGAATGCCAAGACCCTATAGAATAAAATGGTGGTATTTGAAAATTTTTATGTTGCGCAATATTAGCGCAACTCCTTATTAAACCCCAAAATTTAGTGACACATTTAATTAAATGCCCCAAAACACAACAAATTACCCTATTTATGTTCATTTTTTTTTTTTTTTTGCTTAAGTACTACTTGAAGCAGTGAAACTTTAAGATACAACAGGCTCCAATCTGTGCACCCTGCATATTCTGAATGGCACGTAAAATGCAGAGCGCAGATTGGCGTAACTACTGCGGTGTCCAGTGAATAGTGATAGCCACTCTTTAGATCCATTTGGTGATCTACCTATGCCTCTTTTATGTGCTTTGCATGGCAACTGTTTATTTTGTCTTGGATAGGATATTCATATTAATTGATTTTTATTTACTGATAATTTTTTCCCCTCTGCATTGTAGATACTGTGTGGAGGTGACCTGCAAGTCTTTACCGTAAGTGCAATTTAATCAGCAAAATAAAACTATTTTCTTACATCTTGTATAATGTACTGAAATATAAACTCTACTGGAATTCTTTCAGTAACATTTTGCATTTCTCATCTTTTACAGAGCATGCCTGCTTCTTGTGACTCATTACTTGATGACATTGAAGACATTGTCTCAGCAACAGACCCTAAGCCACACGATCGTCAGTCTGCAAGACAGGATGTTGTTCCCAGGGTCCGTAAAAGAAACAAAAACAGAATTGAAGAGCAGCCTCCAAGCGACAGGTAGTTATAATTCTAAGTAATCATCTCAACTATGAAATTTAAAGTAATGAAAATCATTCTACAAAAGCTGACCATCTACCAGATTCCAAAACTTCTACTAAGACACATTTAACTCTTTCAATGACGTAAGGCATACGTCGGCTGCATCCAGCCTTGTGCTATACGCTCATGGTCGCTTCAGTGACCATGAGTATATTACAGAAGGGTCCCCCTGAATGTTCTGTGAAAATAAATATCGGTTATCAGCGGCTGATGACAGCTGTCCATTCTAAATCAGCCTTATCCCCAACTGGGCGCTAGCAGTCTGCTCCCCTGCATGTCACCTTGTGTCCGCTCCGATCTCCTTAGTTTGCGCATGGACAGGAGAAGCTCTGCACAGGTCACTTCCTGTTCAGTTATAACTGGGGCGATAGTATGTTTACCATCTCACCTCACTTTATGAATGGACAGGAATCCTTTGTACTGAGCGTTTCTTCAGTAAGTGCTGGGGCTGTAGAGAAGAGGAATATATAAAGAGGAGGGCAGCGTTTTTAATCTGAAAAGGGAAATATGTTTCTCTCCCGTCTTTTCTCTCCGTTCATTGAAGGACACAGGTCCCGCCCCTCTATGTGAGTGTGTACTCCTTTACTGCTTGTTACTAAACTGGAGACTTGTCAGCAGGTGGGGGGTTTGGCCACCGGCAGGGGCCGCCCCTAGGCTGTAATTGGTCTTTAGTTTTTTGTGCCCAGCGTCCTTCTCCTGCAGGTGGCGATATTACCCTACAGTACATGATCTCCGATCTGTTCCCTGTGTCCTTCAATGAACGGAGAGAAAAGGATTTTACGGTGAGTACCAAAATCCTATTTTTTTT